GATGCTCTGTCTTCTTGGTGCTTGGAGGGGGCAACAGTGGGAGGGCTTCTAATGTCCTGGTCCCACTGGTGGACCTCCTGATGGCACCTGGTATTTCTGGCCACTGTGTGACACGGAGTGTTGGACTGGATGGGCCTTTGGCCTCATCCAACATTGGCATCTCTTATGTTCTTATGTTTTTAAGAGTCTGTGAACAGATGACGTCCCCAATCTGTTATCTGAATAAGACGAAAGCCCACACAAGGGTAAGATATAAACTCTTCCCTTCTGGGGGGGGTCTCTTTTTTTCCGATGATCAGACAGAAAGGAGCAGGAGGTTGGTCCAAGAAAAGTGACTGATAAAAAGAAAGTGCAACTTCTTAGGAAGTAATAGCCAGGGTACAGTTAGGGTGCATTTGTATCTGCTAATGAAAGCTCTTGTTACTGATGGTCGAATGCGTGTGAAAAACAGGATGGCAGCTTTAAAATTTGCTCAGTCTGGGGTTTCCGAATCGACTGGTGCAGGAGGGTGGCCAGATCTGGGCTGGGAAATTCCCGGAGATTTGGGGAAGGAGTCTGAGGAGGGCGGGGTCTGGGGAGGGGAGGGACCACCCACTGGGGCATTATGCCATAGAGTCCACCTTCCAAAGCAGCCATTTTCTCCAGGTAAACTGACTGATGTAACCTGGGGATCGAGGGTTGCCAACATCCAGGTGGTGGCTGGAGATCTCCTGGGACTCCGGCTGATCTCCAGGACACAGAGATAACAGAGATTCACTCCCCTGGAGAAATTGGCTGGCTTGGAAGGCGGACTTTATGGCATTGTACCGCACTGAAGTCCTCCCTGTCCCCAAGCCCCGACCTCCTCAGGCTTCACCCCAAATATCCCCAGGTATTTCCCAACCCTATGAGACCAGCTGTCATTCTGGGAGATCTCCAGCCACCACCTGGAGACTGGCAACCCTACTGTGCAGGGAGGTACTTTTATGGCTGTGCCTCTGTTTTCCTGCGCTGTACAGTGCATGGGCCATTGGGGTTTAAGTCGTGAAACCAAAGATGATGGTGTTGGTTTGTGACACGTGGAGGTAGGTCTCAGGCCCGGGAGTGGACTTAATGATTCTGGGGCCCTGGGAAAAAGCCAGAGGTAGCCCACCCACAGCCCCAGAGCCCAGGCCATGCAGATAGGACATCACTACCCGCAAGGCACAGCCCGTCCCACCTAAGAACACACGGCCAATCCCATTGCACTCATACACACAAGGCCTGTAAAGGCACCCAAGTAGAATAGGACATCACTACCCGCAAGGCACAGCCGTCCCACCTAAGAACACAAGGCTAATCCCATTGCACTCATACACACAAGGCATGTAAAGGCACCCAAGTAGCATTAAATCTGCCAGCAAGTGTTTTGAGCCTCAGACCTCAACAAGCCCTTTTCTTCTCCTATCCGTTTTGGAATGCAGACAGGGTCACCAACCTCCTGATGGGACTTGGAGATCTCCCAGAATCGCAGACCCCAGTGTAGTCTTCTTCAGACTACAAAGATCAATTCCCCTGGAGAAAATGGCTGCTTAGAAGGGCGGTCTCTATGGCATTATTCCCCGATGAAGCCCCTCTCGTCTCCAAACTCTGCCCTCCCCAGGCTCCGCCCCCAAATCTCCAGGAGTTTTCCAACTGTAAATGCACAACACTTTAATCATCACATTCAGCCACCTGTGATTTGTTTGCTGTGCCAGCAGCTGGTGGTGCCCCATGTAAGGGTGGCAGTCCATGTGTGCAGACTGCATTCTTTCCAGACAGCTGTGCGACTCCCGTGTCACCTTTAAGACTAACACATTTATGGTGGCATGGTGGCACGAGGTTTCATGGATGACCGGCTGCTTTGTCTCTAAGACTTACACAAAAGGAGAACACGGAAATAAGGAGAAAATCTAAGATGTAAAGAAGTCCGTGTGAATAATTAATAACCCATAAATCTAACACGCATGTATTATTTACAGCAACTCTAGACACTATCGTCCAGGAATTTTTGAAAGTTGGCAAGGACTGCTTAAAGGAGCTGCAAACATTATTTGGAATCCAACAGGTTTAGTATGATCACATTATATTGCAAGCTGTGAATTTCGGCAAGGACTACTTAAAGGAGTCGCATGCATCATTCGGAATCCAACATGCATGTATTATTTACAGCAGCTCTAGAGATGATAGTCCGGGAATTTTTGAAAGTTAGCAAGGACTGCTTAAAGGGGCCACAAACTTTATTTGGAATCCAACAAGTTTAGCATGATTACATTTTATTGCAAGCTGTGAATTTTGGCAAGGACTACTTAAAGGAGTCACATGCTTCGTTTGGAATCCAACATGCATGTATTATTTACAGTAACTCTTGAGACCATGGTCTGGGAATTGTGCTTTTCATAAAATAGGAATAATTTGGCAAGAACTTTGTATATGATTTAAACACTTTGTATGGGATATTTATTATGTTGTATTTATGAAGTATTGATTTATGCACTATGTTGTGGTTATAGGTTGTTTACATATTATTAAATTTCATCTCTGAGACTAACACATTTATTATGGAATGAGGTTCCATGGATGACCAGCTACTTAATCTCTAAGAGTCTCTTTGAGACTAACACATTTATGGTGGCATGAGGTTCCACAGATGACCGGCTGCTTCATCTCTAAGAGTCTCTCTAAGACTAACACATGTATTGTGGCATGAGGTTCCATGGATGACCGGCTTCTTCATCTCTAAGAGTTTCTCTAAGACTAACACATGTGGCTTGAGGTTCCATGGATGACTGGCTGCTTCATCTCTAAGAGTCTCTCTAAGACTAACACATGTATTGTGGCATGAGGTTCCATGGATAACCGGCTTCTTCGTCTCTAAGAGTCTCTCTAAGACTAACACGTTTATAGTGGCATGAGGTTCCATGGATGACAGACTTCTTCGTCTCTAAGAGTCTCTCCACCCTGGTGGTATTCATGGATAAAACCATGAATGTGCCTCTTTTCACAAATGCAACATTTTGCTTTCAATTTGCTGTATTTTACCAAGGAAAAGTAATGCTCTGCTCTTAGGGATGCTGTTTATAGAACTGTCAGACAAAGGCACTATGGTGGGTCCCAATGTAGCCCTTTTCAGATCAAAACCCAGTAATGCCTGCACATAATCATTTGAGTGGTGCAGTCCCACCTAGTTTAGCGAGAGCTTCGCTCTGTCTCTCTTTACAATGTGCTGAGTCTTCAAGAAAAGTAAGAGAGCAATCTCCTGGCAGGCAGCATGAATGAATGCACCAAGAAGTTCTAATTTCCCTACTGTTTTCATATGCTGCATGTTAATTACCGGCTGCAAGCTGCCTGCCTGCCTGGAGTCCCATTGTTCCCCAAAGAGATGTGAGGACGTGATGGATCCACTTCAGCAGGTCTCCATGCACGAGAAAGGGAAGCCACTCGCAAAGAAAGATAATGCCATTTACCTCCAGGCCATGAAAAGCTTCACCTGCCGACTTCCACACACGAAGCCTCTGTTAAAGGGGCAGGACATCTTTTCTCCAGGTTGTTGGCAACCCTTCACCCTAATCATGGATACCTTTCTGGAATAGCAGAGACTCTGGGCACCTTAAAGACCAATTAATTAATTTATGTACTTGATTCTTTTTTCTCACAAGACTCAAGGTAGATTACAAAATTAGAACAACAATGCAGCAAAAAGTATAAGATGTACCATAATGGGGATGCCACCTCTGGTTTGGAAATACCTGGAGTCTTTGGGGGTGGATCCGGGAGAGGGCGGGGTTTGGGGAGGGGAGTGGCCTCAGCAGGGTATAATGCCACAGAGCCCACCCTCCAAAGCAGCCATTTTCTCCAGGGGAGCTGATCTTTGTCAGCTGGAGATCAGTTGTAAAAGCGGGAGATCTCCAGGCCCCACCTGGAGGCTGGCAACCTTTGTGGGGTTTGGGTAGGGTTGCCAAGTCCATCTTCCACCCCCAGTGGGGGACTTTGGGGGCGTTCCTGGAGGGGGTGGGGCATCCCCAAAGTGATGACGTCACGTTGGGGACGTCTGCCGCCTCCCCCACCCATGCACCGGATCTCCAGAAACGGCAGTTCCCTGCAGTTAAAGTAGCTGGCAGCCGGCATTTCCCCTTTAAGAGCAGCTGCGTTTCCCTTTTAAGAACGAAGCTGGCTTTTCCCTGCAAGCTTGCGGAGTTCGCGCTTGGGATGAAACACGGGTTGCACACACTTAAAGGTAGAGAGATGGGTGGCTGTGGGTGTTGGGGGTAGAACCCCCCCAAAATGGGGGACCCTTGGCAAACGAGTTTTTTTTTTGGCAACCCTGGGTTTGGGGAGGACATGGACCTCAGTGGGTGCCATGACATAGAATCGACCCTCCAAAGCAGCCATTTTCTCCAGGGGAGCTGATCTCCGTCAGTCAATTTACATCCTTTTTACATTTCCATTTATTAACAGGTAGTTAAATTGACTGGTAGTGTATAAACTGATTATTATTGTTGATATTGCATGTAATGAATATATACCTGTTTTAGAATATTATAAATAACACACAATGCGCTTTTCAAGATGGAACAAATAGAACACCATTCACTTATAAAAGGTTTCTCCAGTGTATATTTGTGTTGTCTGACCCACCTGCAGGCTGGCAACCCTAAGGGGAACTGACATCTGTCATGAGGAGATCAGTTGTAATTCCAGGAGATTTCCAGTAACCCCTTGGAGACTGGCATCCCTATACCATTAGCAATGCAAAAACTGAATTACAAGAATTAAAGGCAATCCAGAAAAAGCAAGATAATACCATAAACGACACCATACGTTACACTGCCCTGTTCTCCCCTGAACAATTCCAGTTTACGACGACAACTGTTGCTGCAGAAATTTTTAAGAGCTGAACTTCATCAGAGCTCACAAACACACCACAACAAAGTCATTCATCTTCAGACTTCCACAAGATTCTGGGCTGGAGTATCCATCCAGTTTTTCAGCTGGTGATATGAGGGGCTGTGGCTCAGTGGTAGAGCATCTGTTTGGAAAGCAGGAGGTCCCCCAGGTTCAATCCCTGGCACCTCCAGTTAAAGGACCAGGCAGTAGGTGGTGTGAAAGACCTCCGCCTGAGACCCTGGAGAGCCACTGCCAGTCTGAGTAGACAATACTGACCTTGATGGACTGAGCATCTGATTCAGTATATGGCAGCTTCATGTGTTTGTGTGATAAAAACCACCCCAAATCAGTATTCCCTCTAAGCTGAGTTAGTGTGAGTTAGCTCACAGTTTTTTTAGCCTCCAGCTCACACATTTTTGTCTCAGCTCAGGAAGGGATGGCTCCAGAGCAAACTAATTTATGCAGTAGCCAAATCGCTGGCTCACAACTTTAGTGCCATTAGCTCACAAAGTAGAATTTTTGCTCACAAGACTCCACAGGTAAGAGGGAGCATTGCCCAAAATGCTAGTCTGGGGATAACAGGGCCCACATGGACTGAAGTCATGTGGGATGGACACAGACACTGTGGTAAGGAGTCGAATTGTGCAGGTCTGCGTAAAAAAGCTGTCTGGGTCCAGCACTTTTTGTTGTTTAGATGCCCCAGGTTAACACAGCAACCCTTTCTGGAAACAGCAGACAATTAAGAATAAATCTGTTGCCAAAAAGTGTGTCTTGCTAAAGCAAAGGGTTTTTTTTACTCCGATATGATCAAATCGCTTATCTAGGAGCAATCATGGCGAAGCTGGTGGGGTTACTCGGGGAGGGCTGTCTTGAAATGTGATGCCTTTTCATTTTTTTAAAAAAAATCCCTAGATTTCGTTTCCTCCTCCTTGGACTCTTCCTTCGTTCCCAACTGGCACTGCAAAAATTCTTTAGCTTTGAAAGTGGAGTCTATCTTCTCTCTTTTATCGTTGATCTTAAAGATGACACCCTCTGGAATCGCCCACCTATACGAAATTCCATTGGTTTGAAGGAAAGAAATTAAGTCCTTATCATTTTTCCTCTTTTGTCGGATTTCAAATGGAATATCTTTTAAGGTTTTGATGGTTATATTTCCCATTTTCAGTGGAGTTGCTGATATCGCTTTTAAGATAGCATCTCTGGTCTGTCTTCTTGAGAATCTGATCACGATTTTTCCAGGCAGGCTATTTTTTAAAATATAATTGGAGTATGCCCTGTAGGCCATCTCCATTTCTTTTACCAGCTCATCTGCTGTTAAGCCTATTGCTGGAGCGATGATCTCGCTGAGCAACCTCCTCAGGTCTTCCTTCTCTGCTTCAGGAACTCCCTGGAACCTGAGAATCATGTTAGCTTTATCCATCTGTAGTTGTAGCAAATGGCTTTCTTGGAAGTTTTGCTTTGTTTCAACTTCTCCCTTTCTTTTCTTCAATTTCTTATTTGAGGTGTCTATCTCTTTAATTTTCTCAGCTGCCTGCTCCACTTTCTTCTCCGTTTCTTTCACCTGGAGCTGCTGAGATGCAAAGTTCTTATTCATCATGGTCAATTGCTGGTTAATACCACTGAGTTGCTCCATCACCGGCTTAAGCATGTCCGCTAGCATTTTAATGATGTCTGCTCCCTCTTCCGGTTTTGGGCTCTGGCTGCCCGGCAGTTTCGTTTTCAGCTTTCTTTGCTGGGCCGCCATTTTTCCCGATTTGTTTACAATTTCTAACGCTTCTCCCTGGCCCGAAAAATCGCCCCACGATGTCGGTATTCAAGTAAGTCTCTCAAAACACACTTGTTGTGTTTCCTCCCCTCTCCCCCTTCGTATCATTTATCAGTTCATTCACATAAGAGGCGTCCCTCTTTGTGATCTGCTTTTGCCGGGGGGGGGGGATCCCCTTTTTCAATAATCCGGTTTATTCTGAACTCATGTTCATTGTCGGCCAGTTTCTCTGACCTCGCTCACTTTAAATGCCATTCCGCTTGATCTCCGGCACTTGTCCCGGTCAAACCAGCTTGTGCCTGGAGGCCACACAGCGGCTGGACTGTCAGAGCGGAGGGGAGCCTCAATTCTCTGGCATTCTGCCGTTGAAGAGGCTACCCCTCAAAAGCCCTCTGGCCTGGAGCCTATCACAAAGGCTCCGTGGGGGTGTCACTTGAGGTAGCACCCCTCCAAACCGCTGGTGTGCGGATCGCTCTCCCACGGTTCAGGGAGAACGTCCGCCATTGCTGCTTCATAAACCGGACACCATAATGTGATGCTTTTTCAGATGATATGGTTAAGACGCTGCATCTGATACATCCAGTCCAACACAGAGTATTTTAGCTGCTTGAGGAGTGGCAAGGGGCAAAAAATCTATTTCAAATATTGATGTGACAAATCAGTAAAAGAAATTGTATTTGGTTGGGGTTCGAGGCAGGGGTGTGTGCATGGGAACCCACCAGGCAATAGTTCAGCTTAATGCCATGCAGCTGACTCACTGAGGGTGAAACTGCAGATCAGGAAATTTTCCCTGATGATTTTTTTTTTAAAAAACCCACCTGAATACAGCCACCGATGTTAATTTGAAGGAGATCGCCTGTGTGGGAGGTGAGGGTGTCTAACCCTCCCCACGTTGCCATGTTCCTGCTGGAAATAACTATCTTTAAGAGATTCAAAGCCGGCCTTCTCCCTCTCCTGTCCAAAGAAACGATTGATGGGAATATTAATAGAATAAAACAAGGGTACTGATATAAGGCTCCCAGTCTCCTGGCTTTCTGCAAACTATGCAAAACTGGATTATTCAAGAGGGCTTTTCTATGCAGGCGATAGAGCAGCACTGTAGAAAATGGTTCACAATGTTAATTGGACAAGTTATTAGGGACCATGGTCTATACTGCTATGCATACTTTGCTGTAAGTTGGATCCTACTATGTAATCTTCCATCATTTTATGTGCCACGTTAACGCTTCTGCTTTGCTCCAGATCTGTTTATGGGATTTCTGGTTGGTTCTACAACTAGAAATGGGCACGAACCGGCTCAGAAACAAAAGTTCGTGGGGAATTTTGGCTAGTTCGTGGTTTTCGAACTGAAGTTCTTGCCAGGTCAACTGGTATGAACTTTCAAGTGGTTCATAGTGGTTCATGAATTGATACATTTTCAGACAGACTGTCTCCGCTCAAGCAAAATCTATATATCTAATTCCCAACTGCACCCCTGTGTGCGGATACTTATTTCCGGAGATCGGGAGCACATGGAGGGTAAAGAGACTTTTCTGCACACTTGAGGTACTCGCCGGGGGTGCAGAAAAATCTTACATCTTTCAAAAACTATACGGGGGATACTTATATCCCTCCAAAAGTAAAACTGCTTGGTCTATGAGTGCACAGAGAACGGACTTGCTGAGGTGTGGGAACAGCTAATGGAGCTGCGAGGGAAGCTGCCATGCCTATAACTGTCTCTCTCTCTCTGCCTGTCTTGGCGGTGGCCTCCTCTGGCTCCTGGCTTCTACTTCCTCCTCTGCCACCTTAGGAAAACACCGGGGGCCACAGGGCTGGCTGAGTGTGAGGATGAGCCAGGAGGGAGCCAGCGGAGTGGAGCCCAGGCCAGCCGGGAGGGAGGGAAGCCAAGCCGCAGCTGCCCCAATCCAGAAGAAATCTCCTTAGGACCCCCCCAAGCTCTCCACACAACTTCTCTGTGCCCACCTGCCAGCCTCTTCCACCCCCCGTACCTACCTGGCTTGCCTGGCCTGCCCACAGCTCCCTCCTTGCCAGCGCCCCCACACTGCGCTTGGTTGTTAGAAGTAGAAGATGTCGGCGCCCACACCAGGCTCTACAGCAGCGGCGGAGACTGCAAGCAGCCACCCCTCGCCTGGCAGCAAAAGTAGGAGACTGGCTGCGCCCAGCTTTGGACTTTGGAGGGGGGGTGTATAGGATTCCCCTGTGCAAGTCTCTCCCTCCCCAAGTCTTTCCCCTCACTGACTCATGTGGGAAATTAGCAGTGATGAGGAAAGGAACCCCCACGAACCATCCCCTCCTGTGACTTCTTCTGCCGCCCCCCCCCAAGCCAGCAGAATAACGACGACCTGCTGGAAGGCAGGTGGGGAGAGCGGCAAGGGTGTGTGTGGGAGGGTCAATGAGAAGTGTGTGTGTGTGTAATCTAGTACCAAAGGGTGGGAGCAGTTGGGAAGAAACCAAGAGTGGGAGTGAGTGAATGCCACGGTGGGAAGGGGAGTGCCACCATTTCTATGTGACTCTGTAACCTGCCCTGATTCCACTTGCGGGGAGGGCGGGATAGAAATCAAATCACCATCACAATCATCATCATGGGTCATTTTGTAGAAAAAGAGGTGCAGGAGCTCATTAGCATAACTTATTTGCATAGGCCAC